ATCTGGGCGGGCTCTGTAGCGTGCCGCGTGTCATACCCGTCACACCGACATATTGTTTACTCGCAAGTTTCTTTAAAAGATTCAAGAATAGCTCGGTGAGATTGTTGAATGGCTGTTGCAAATTTTGCAAATCGACGGAGGAAATTGGAATAGGAATTACTTACGCATGGAATAGCAGTGCCACCGTTGTTATTGCAATCGCATGACTGACAGCCACGAGATTTGAATTTCGATCAGAGTCAATCTCTCACTGTACCAGCATTTATTCATTTTGCATTGTATGGAAAATTCAGTACGTATTCACGGCCTATCACTCACGTCACGTGTCGAACGTAGGAAAAGCATGCTCCGGACTAATTGGATTAGAATACCAGATCACGTTTAATGAACACGGTGTTTGTTGAAACGATCTTGCACAATTTTTTTTCTTGACAACGTCGCGTCCTTTCGAGCAACGGCCGCAACGGACATGCCACAATTCGTGTTCCGTTCAATCACGATACATCGGATCGATATATCTCGACGTCAGATCGATACTAAAGTCGATATATCAATTTCAAATTCAAATTTTGTGAACCTAACCCGATGAAAATTGTAGCACTTAACGATAACGTGTATTTGGTGTATTTATCTGTGTCGTATTTTCATAACTGTTCATTGTTAAATATAAAACGTAAATTTCCAATTAACATAACCTACCGTTGTCGTGTCGCTTCGATTTACTGTCTTTTACTTTTCAATTTCATCTCGCGCACGGAAATTTTCACACGGAGAATTGTGAAACGAGGCTATTCACCGTCTGAACGTCATCGTAATTTAGCAAAACGTTTAGCAACGATCGATCTCGATGGTAACATTAAACGCATCGTATTTCACTGCGTGCGATGGACGTTCAAATTTTTGTGTGAAAAATGCCAGCGACATCACTCTGACGAGAGTTTGAGATAAAACATGCCATAATGAAATAATAGCCTAGTATATTACGTTAAATGTACAAATACAAGAGAGCTTTCCTTCTCGCTCGATTCTAATCAAGATCTAGTCGTTATTTACCTGTTGTTTCTCAAACAATTCACTCAGCAATGATAACAGTGAGAACCGTTTACAAGGGGTGTGTCGATCATCAAATAAACAGACACTGATTTCCCTGTGTTCATGGCTGAAGGCAACTCGCTCCTTTTTAATTCACTTTATTCTCGTGTAAGTCTCCCCAATTATGTACAAAAATATAATGAGAATCAATAATCATTACAGAGTTCGTAACATTAGGTAGGTACATGACGACGTGTGTGTGTGTGTGTGTGTTTGTGTGCTCTTGCCTTCTCTTGGCTTGTGACACTTTTTCTTTTCTTTTCTTTTCTTTTTCTTTTTTTTTCTTCACAAAAAAGTGGTTGAACAATTTTCCCTCTCTCTTTTTCGTTTTTTGTTTCCTTTTGAAAGCGAAAGACGATCGACCATCTTCACTTACGTGTTTATGCGCGAGTAATCTCTTACTTTTCCTCTCAAACCTAAAACTCAAATATCCACTCGTTAAATCTACATATAGTATATATTATGAGAATTCGGTGTTTTTCAACTTTTTTTCTTTTGTCGTTTGTAGCTTCGTGTGCACGCATACAGAGAACTGGGAAAAAAAAAAAAAAACACAGAAGAAGAAAAATGTTTGTTTCAGAAGGGGGTAGTTTGACCCGTTGCTTAGCGTAGAACATGAACGTTGCGTGGAAAGAAAGAAGAAAAGAAGAAAAAATACATTTATATGCGTTGAGAAATCCAATCTTATCCTTTTCATGATCGTTACACTCCATTCGAACGTATGAATTGGCAATTGATCTGGTACAAAGATATTTTACAGTCGATACCGTTGGAGGCTTCTCTCGTGTCCTTTCGTAAAGTAATTCACAATTTTTACTCCTATTGCGCAGCTTCATCGGATATAAGATCAACGATACAAAGTCCAACGTGAATAAAATAACAGTCAGAATTATCAGTCAAAAGGACACGAAGCATGTCTGAGAGTCTCGAGCAGCATGAATTGCAAAAATCTTGGTTGCGAAAGTTTGAAGAATCACCGAGAAATATCGTCGAAAAATCGTATCGTTAGATCCGGTAGTGTTATTGTGATTTCGTCAGAAAAGTGCAAGGCTTAGCCGAAACGCATTACATTACTTGCGATGACTATAAGAAAACGCGTACTTATGCTGAGAAGCAGCCTCTTTTTCGGTTTATTACACTTTCGTTTTCCTGTGTTCCGTTGGAAGAAGCACAGAGAACACTTGACCCACCCGTGATCGATCACGGTGGACTTTTCAAACATTTTATTAATACACCTTTGTACAAACGCGTTGTCGAAATATTTATGAACTTTCCGCTAGAATATTCTATTCGTGTCTCGATGTCGACGCGGCTTATTGTCCTCATTGACAGACACGAGTTGGATCGACAGAATTCTTTACTTTGTTTTTCTCCTTTATATTTTTCCAAAAAAAAAAAGAAAAAAAAACGCAATGTGATATTCCTTGCAAGATTTTAACAGGTGCGAAATTGCTTTGTTCTCTAAAGGTATCCTTACAAATATGTTCATAACGAAATATATACATATATATGTATATACATATATTATATGTATGAAAGGAAAAAAATAAATAAAGAAAGACAACTATACAATGCGTTCGTAACTCGTATCAGTTCGCACGATATTGTACAGTTGAAAATTTATAACCACTGGATATAGAAACACGTCTCGAATGAATATAATTCGTTTAACCGCGAGTTTACACGTATTAAAAAAAATGATAAAAGGACGAGCGATTTTTAACCAATTTATATGGCATTAGAATGTACGATCTCGGTTTCAGTCGTATTTGAGGATAACATATCTGTGCGACTTTACGTGAACGGAAGAAGTTGGACAAAGGAATAACATTCTGAGCGTCGAAGGTGTATAAAATTATTTGCTACATCGTAACTCGAAGATCAATTCCTGTACACATTGGAACGAATGACAAGGATTGCAGCCGATTGTTATCGATCTGCCGACTGAAGAAACACCGTTGAAAGCTATTGTAGTTTTTTACCAGGAGAAAGAATTTTTTTTTTTCACGAAAGATCCGGAAATAATATCTTGCACGTATGTTTTTTTTTTTTTTTTTAATGGCTATGTTTCACAGTCTTGTCGACGTTGATTTCTCTTTTTTTTTTTTTTTCGTTTTTACTTCTTTTATTATAAACCATTCTTCAAATATTCCTCTAATACGTTATTAAAACACTTGGCAATAATAAATTTTCGTATATGAATACTTTCACAAGAAAGCACGTCTTTGACACCCTTAACGTCAACGTTTCTTTTTATTATGCGATTGATCTATTCCCTTGTAAAAATATACAACATTAAATTTATAGGATCAAATTGTTTTCTTTCCTCAGATTTCTTTTTTATTTCTGTGCGATCATAAATAAAAACCTTCATCTTTTCGTAATAGGAAGAGTACAAAAATTTATAACCTTAACAAGAGATTTTTATGATTCCTAGATAAACGTTTTCTCTTTCCCTCCATGCGTTTATAACACATACTATATACGTATATTCGAACGATTGGCATTCGAACTTCCTTTTTTTTCTTTTTTTTTTTTTTTTTTTTTTTTTT